GCTCCCGTCCACCGCGGCTCTCCCCGCCTCCGCAGCCCGCCACTCGGTCGCCCTCCGCCCGACCCCCGCTCCACTGACGTCGCCGACGCCGCCGTCTCCTCGCGCCTTCACCATGCCGCCGCGTCGCCTCGGCGGCTTCGTCCCGATGCTACCTTCCTCCTCTCCCGAACGCGCGAGCTCGGCTACGCCGCCGCTACCGCCAGCGTCCGGCGGAGTCCCGGCCCGTCGTCCGGTCGTCCCGGCCAGCTCCCTGAGCGCCGTCCAGGACGCTGAGCGGCCGTTGTCGTCGCCGAGCACCCCTCAGCCGCACCAACCGCCTCAGCCGACTTCCTCTTCTCTCCTTTGTCTTCCCGCCGTTCGCCGCGGCGCCGTCGCCCGCCTTCGCCCGCCGCTCGCCGTCGCTCCAGCCGGCCAGCCCGACGCCACCCGACCCCGCCCGACGGCCGCGGCAAGGTACCACTCCGTCGCCCAGGGTTCGCCCCCTCTCCCTCAGCCCCGACTTCTTCTCTCTCTCCCTCTCGCCTCCACCCCCGGCCAGACCTCCACCCTCCTGCGGCTCGTCGTCGCCGCTCGCCACCACCGCGCCGCCGCCGTCGCCGTCGCCGTAGTCGCCGCCGCCGCGGTCACCGCCAGACCAGCTAGCCCACTGGCCTCGGCCGGACCAGCCTAAGCCGTGGCCAAGCGGCTCGGGCTGACCGGGCCGTATTAAGCAGCCCATTGCTAGCCCGGCCGTGGCGAGCTTGCCCGGTGCCGATGCCCATCCGACCGAGCGCGTCGCCCGTCCGACCAGCCCATTTTGGCGTCGCCCCGGCCAGGTAAGCCTGCGCCTTGCCCGTTCAGACCCAGGCACCTCGCCCGTTCAGCTTGCCGTGCGCCGGGCATGCCGTTCGGCCATCGCGCCCGCGCGCCAGGCACGCCGTCCGGCCATTGTGCCCGCGTTGGCCGGCCACCGCGCCCGTTGACCCGTGCCCGCGCTTAGTTCGACAGTGTTCACCCGGGCCATTTTAGGCCCGAGCCGATTTTCTCCGGGCCAAAACCAAGTAAGTGACTTCCTAAACCCTACCTAGTACTTTGGGTATTTTTAGACTTGTTTAGGATGTGTTTAGTACTGGCTTGGGACTTTAATTAGGCGTGGGCTAATTAGGACTGATTGTGCTTAATTGGTGAATTATTGTGGCGATAATTGTGCGGCCGATTTAGTGATTGACTTGAGATAAATATGCCTGACTGAATTGTCGTGGCGCTTGTTGGTGAATTGGATTAGTTGAATGTGCCGACTTGAATGTCGGGTCGGTGGGCCAATGTCGGGAGCATGAATTGAGTTGACTGATGTGGCGTGCTAGATTGACATTGGTTAATGGGTGGTGATTGAAATTGATTTATATGACTAAGAGCATGGTGAATTTTGTATTGTGGTGCATGTGCATGAGAAAAGCCCGGATCGATCGGAGGGCGAGCCTGAGGCGTGTTCGCGGTGTGAAAGGTGAGTTAGACTGAGGCGTAGGTTACGCGGGTCATTGGAAAGGAAAAATGTCCTGAGGCGTGGTTACGCGGGACGAAGCCCGGCTTGATCGAGGGTGACACGAGCGCAGATGGCGGGTCGTGGGAAAGTGTGAAATGTCCAAGTGAGGACGGAGCCGGCTTGATCTCGAGGGCGACCTAAAGCGCGATAGCGCGGGTCGTGCGAAAGTGTGAAATGTCCAGTGAGGACGGAGCCCGGCTTGATCCCGAGGGGCGACCCGAGGCGCGATGCGCGGGTCGTGGGAAAGTGTGAAATGTCCAGTGAGGACGGAGCCCGGCTTGATCGAGGGGCGGCCCGAGGCGCGATGGCGCGGGTCGTGAGAATGGGCACGAGGCGCAAAGGGCGTGGAGTGTGAAAGGACACGGGAGGTCGTGAGAAAGTTAGTTGGACCATGCATGTTGCATAGTGTTTGATTATGAGGTGAATACTGCTAGGCATGGTATGGGACGTGCCCAAGTGGTTTTACCTTATAATCGAGACACGCGCGAGTGTTATTGTATGATGCATGGAAAATTTCCTTGTGTGATCTGAATATGAGCTCTGCTGGATGCACTAATGTGATTTGACTAATGTACAGTGTGGGCATGTGATTGGATGGCGAGGTAAGTCCATTGATGTGAATTATATATAAGTTATCGGTTAGATTGCATGTTACAACTTGTCTGGGTACGCATTGGCCTATGTGGGGTATAGGGGGTTGCTTATTGAGACTCGTTCTCACGGTTATTATATAACCATTTTCAGATCTGCGATCATGATTGATTGGAGACGCCACCAGGGTATCTCGGGGATGGAGGACGGGTCAAGTTACCCCATATTTTGTGTGCCCCTCTTTTGTATAGCGAAGTAGGATACCCCACCACTATTCCCTTTTGATGTTGTGTATTTGGAATTATTATTTTGTGCTATCCCTTTGTCATATTTTATTATGCGGGTTGTTTTAAATTCGCTTCCGCTTGCCTTTATCTCTGATGTTTGAGTTGGGTCGGCGACGTGTCTGGGACGTCGCATTCAATGATCGACCATCGCGGGATGATCGCGCGCTCGTAGGGTGCGGGGCGTGACAAAGTTCATCAACACATGAGTTTTCAGTAAAATGCTTGTGTTTGTAAATTTCAGGTGATCTACTATGTTCTAATGTGAGATAATTTGTTTACTAAAAGGATTATATGACTGGTTGCAAGTACGCGATGGGTATCTAGATACTATAATAAGCAGGGTATGGAATTTTATGTAAAAAAAACCCGTAAGGGGTTTGGGTAAATGCAAAAGTTGTTACACAGATTTGAGACGAGTTTGGTCTACACATATATTGATATATCTCATAAGCAGATTTAGGTACTCACCATCTTTACCGCGCAGAACGGCACCATGAACTGGTGGCAAGCCTTGTATCCTCGATGGTTCGATCGAGGCCAAAAATAAAGCCTCATGTATCTGGGAGTCGTTGGTGTCGAGGGCCAGGTAGAGGGGAGATTTCTGCTCCATGTTCTCCCAGTACACGGGCTCAAGATCTTCCCTCAACAAGTGGCACACCACGTCGGCATGACAATGAAGCACAGCCTCGTGTAAAGCGGTGTTTCCATGTTTGTTCTTCATCCTCAGGATCATTTTGTTGTCCTTGATGCTGGGGAGATCTCTTTCCCGGCGAATCAACATCAAGGCGGCTCCGGATCCCCCAGCCTTAGCGGCCATGTGGAGGGGCGTATCTCCCCAATCATTTGGGACGGCTATGAGGTCGTAACCAACACAATCAATCAGGAGCCTTAGAATGTCGTCCTTGCCTGTCCCGGCTGCAATGTGGAGCAGTGAACCCTTCGATAGCCCCTGGAAATTGAAAATGGCAGACGGATCAGTTTGAACGGCATGCCTTTCGATCATGGAAATGAACTTTTCGACATCGGCGGCTTTGATGACATTCACCAGTCCCCTGGCATCTGCATACAAATCTTTTGGTTCTTGTCGCGCTGCAATTCTCGCAACTACCAATGCACTTTTTATTCTCGCCTGTTGACTCCTCCGGATATCTTCCCCGTCCATATTCATAGATATTTGTACGTCCATCAAGCCTAAGCAATGCAAGTAATGCAGTTATTACAATGGAGCAACGATAGGGTAAAGAGACATTATTGTTGGCGGATGAAGCCAAATTTTATTATTAAGAGCTTTTTTTTTCTCTTAATTTGCTTTTAGGTTAAAAGCTATACCTCATATATCAGCTATAGATAGATAGTAGTCATCAAGGGCCTGAGAAGAAAATAGAAAGAAAAGAAAAAGAGAGAATAAAAAATGAGTTTTTCTTTATGAGTGTTCTCAATCTCTTTGTGCCATGATCTTGAGAAAAGATTACCAATGTATTCCTGTGAGTACTTAATTGCTCAATCACTTAAGTATTTCCCGTACTCGAATGACACCCAAAACCCTAAAAAAATAAATCAAAAAGTAAATTAGAGTGAGGAAATTTACTTTAGATCAAGAGTAATCGATGGGATCTTCCACTTCAAATAAGCAAAAGACTTATACGATTGGGTTCTTTTTTGTTGTGATTTGTTTATTTAAATTTACATTTAGATGAAGTGCATCCTTTTATTTACAAGTGAAGTGAACAAAGACAACACAGGCTACATCTCATATACAACTCTCGGCCTTCTAACACCCACTTTTATCTCCTAAAAGCCAAAATTGAAGCCCCATAGGTAAACTTAAGTAAATAAAATTTCTGGTCCTTGAAAGAATGCTGCATTGGCTAATCAGTCGGCCCCCATTTTCCCCTTACCACCCATTCTCGCCTCAACAACTCCACAATCCTGCGGACTAGTACATCAAGGTGATTTAGATAACAAATGGGAAAATTATCCAAAAAGTTATAAACCTATTGCACTTTTGTCCATTCAATCATAAACTTTTAGATTGTGCTAATTGTATCCTTCACCTTTTCACGTTTCGTCAATTGAATCCATCAAGCCAATTTTGGCCAGAAATCGATGACGTGGACGCCGGCTGTCCTACATGATACGATCGGCCCTAAAGTGGATAAATTTTAATATTTTTTCAAATTATTTATTTCATTATTTCTTTTTTTCTTTTCTTTCTCTTTGTTTTTTTTTTCCCTTCTTCCTCTTGTCGACTTTTTGGCCGGAGAATGCATATATGGCCGCCCATGGGCGATGTCGTACGGAATGCAAACTAAAATTAGCAGGTCAAGCAGTTGAGTACGGAGGCGAAAAGGAGTGAAAAGAAAGGACACCTTAAGCTAACTTGAGAAAGAATGGCAGTCCTCATGCAGTAGGAAACAAAACTTGTATAATTGATATCCTAGTAAAATCTTTGAATAAAGTGAACCAATCAAGTAAGAATATAATGAAAAGTTTGTGATCCAGCATCAAGATTGAAACAATTAATATTCACAAAGGAAATATTAGACAATTAGCAAAAGAAAAACGAAAGTAAATATTAATCATTTTGAAAAATACATTACCTTCCAAAACGAAAACTTGCTTCTCCAACGATCTAAAGACGATATTGATAGCAGTCAACTCGTTTATCCCACAAAAGATGAACCCGAGCGGCCATTTTATACTACATCGAAGGCTAAACTTGTTGTTGAATAAATTCTCATGCATACTCCCTTTTCTCGCTATAAGTCCCTTTGACTGATCCTATTCTTTGCTTTAACCTGTCACCAAGGATCGAGGTTGCCTCCCATACCAGCAAAGAGGCTTAGAGATCCATATAGTCTTTTGTAGCTACTTCGGCAATTATGAATTTAAGAACGTGGCAACTCTTTTGTTGCTTCATCGTGATTGGACCGTTCAATTTCGATTGCCACTGGTAACAAATTACTTCGGTATAACACAATTTGGCGGTAACTTATACCAGCTCTTGAATAGTTGCTAGGACCATCCATCATACCAATTATATCACGCATTAAAGATTAGTAAATATGGACAAATCATTCTGTAATTTAATTTGTGTATTGCTAGGAAGCTAGTTGGCTTCCTCGAAAGCTTGATGGTGCTTATCGAAAGACCAGTTTTTGTCGCTCTTTGGGCCCCAATCGCAAGAAAGTATGTTATATATCGAATACAAAACCGACGTGACTAACTAACCAATCAAATTGCTTGCATAATATGCATTTTCTATTCAACTTTTGCATTTTAATTTCGAAACACTCCCTTTTTATTGGCTGGTTACACAATGTGTTATTCCCATGCGGCACAAACTACAGCCTCCCAATGACATCAAGAATGATAATAAGGAGATATCTCCTTTCCATGCGGTCGGGGTGTGGCTAGCCCCGCAGCATCATCCGATTGGCGAGCAGTCACTACGCGAACAAGCTCTTGCGGCATCTTGCATGAATATGGTGGTGGCTGGTGGCCTTTTTCACCACCCAACCTAATTGCCTGACCCGATTGAACCCCTTCTTTCTTCTGTTCCATAAGAAGTAAAACAAAGAAATTGAGCCAAAAAAAAATTAAAATTAAAATAAGCATTGGGAAATCACAAATGGGACAAACTTTTAGTATTGATATACTAGTAACATCATTGAATGGAGTAAACCAATCAAGAAAGAATTTAATGAAAAGTTTGTGGTCCAGCATCAAGATTGAAGACATTAAGAATTAACAAAGGAAATATTAGACAACTAGCAAACGAAAAAGGAACGGAAATATTAATCATTATGAAAAATACCTTACCTTCCAATACGAAAGCTTGCTTCTCCAATGATCTATAGGCGATATCGAAAGCTTTCAACTCGTTTATCCCACGAAAGATGAACCGAAGAGGCCATTTTATATTACATTAAAGTTCTAAACTTGTTGAATGAATCCTCGTACATAGTTCCTTTCTTGCGCTGAGTCCCTCTAGCTGGTACTGTTCTTTGCCAACCACAGAAGCAAAGAGGCATTGAGATTCGATTAGTCCTTTTGTAGCTAGCTTTGGTAATTATGCATAGGATCGCCCTTCATGCCAATTATCATCACATACTACAGTTTAGTAATTATGGACAAAATTCTGCAATTTAATTTACGCATGCTAGAATGCCACATGGCTTCGTCAAAAGATCAATAGTGTGTACTGAAAGACTAGTTTGTTTGGGTCTTGGGGCCCCAATCCCAAAAAATTATGTTACGTATCTATCACACAATCAAAATAGTTAACCGACAAATCACATGACTTGCATATATGCATTTCCATCACAATTTTGCATTAAAATTTCGAAAGTTTACCTTTTTATTGGCTAGTCTCTTGTCAGGTGGCACAATCTGTCTCCTCTTCAATCACATCAAAAATAAAAAAAAATTAACATAAACGGTCCTTGAACTTTGATTCAATAAGCAATGTCATCCCTAAATTCTTAATTCGTTCAATCACTAAAAAAAACAAGGATTTAGCCACAAAAAATTAGCCACGAAAAATTTTTCGTGGCTAATTTGCAACGGATTTTGCGACGAAACCTAAATTTGTCGCTATAGCGACGAAAAATTTTTCGTAGCTAATTTACGACGGAATTAGCCACGAAAATATTTTCGTGGCTAAGTTGCCACGGAATTAGCCACGAATTATTTTTCGTGGCTAATTTTCGACGGAATTTGCGACCAAAATTTTGCGTGGCTAATTTTGCGATCGAATTTGTCACGAAAAAATTTTCGTGGCTAATTTTGCGACGGAATTTGCCACGAAAAATTTTTCCGTGGCGAATTTGCGACGGAATTTTCCACGAAAAATTTTCCGTGGCTAATTTGCGATGAAAAAAAAAATTTTGTCACTAATTTTGCAACGGAATTTGCCACGAATACGGAATTCGTCGCTAAATTTGTGACAGTAAATAACTTTCGTTATGTCCCAACCCATCTCCAATTTCTCTCTCTCTCTTGATTCCTCATATCCCGCTCGCTATTCTCCCTTCCTCTCCCTCTTTCGTTTCTCTCGATAAACTTCTTTGCATTTGCGCAAATCAGTCTCGGTAAAGCTTTTTCACCGGTAAGTGTAGTGACTAATTGGCTTCGTAGCAATACTATTCGTAACTGGATTCAATTTATTTTTATTTTATTGACTTTTTTTTTTCTTTTTCTGTTTTTTTCATAACTTGTTCCCCGGTCCCCGGACCGGCGACCGGCGACCGGCGAGAACCGGCCGGCCATGGCGAGATCGAGCAGCCTCGCCGCAGCCGCCCGACCTCGCCGTCGCCCGTATCTCGGGCGACGGCGAGGTCGGCGGCCATGGCGAGGCCGCTCGACCTCGACCACGACCCGTGGCGACGGCGAGGTCGGGCGGCCATGGCGAGGCCGCTCGGCCTCACCCACGCCAGCCGAGGTCGGCGGCCTCGCCATGGCCGCCCGACCTCGCCGTCGCCCGGATCCGTGGCGACGGCGAGGTCGGGCGGCCATGGCGAGGCCGCTCGACCTCGACCACGCCTGGTCGAGATCGAGCGGCCTCGCCATGGCCGCCCGACCTTGCCGTCGCCCAGATCTGTGGCGACGGCGAGGTCGGGCGGCCATGGCGAGGCCACTCGACCTCGCCGGCGACCGGCAAAGAATATAGGAAAAAAAAATTCAGAAAGAAAATAAAAAATTATTAAAAAATGAATTTTAAGTTATTTTTCTTTTTTTTAGGTATGTGTCGATTTGAGGTCTCGCAATACAAGTGAACGTAGCAATTATCATCAAATTGACCACTACTACAAAGATTGCAGTCAAATACTTAGGTAAGTCTTCTTGACATGGTAATTTTTTCAATTTCAAAGTAATTGTTTCTTCATAAACAAAATTTTATGGTTTTAATTAAGAATATTAAACAGTAGATATCATATTTTTAATATTTTTTTATTTTTTTATTTTTATACAGACACAATGCAAAGAAACAGGGCTTGGATGTATAATAAGAACTTACCTGGACGTCAAGGATTGACTGATGAGTTTCGTACTGGGTTGGAACTATTTTTGGACTTTGCTAGTAGTAAATATGAGTTAATGGATGGAAATAAGTTAAGGTGTCCGTGTACAAAGTGCAGTAATAGTAAATTTCATGTGTGTGATAAAGTTAGAGAACATCTTTGTAGATTTGGATTTACTCCGAACTACTATAATTGGACTTGCCATGGTGAACCATTTATATCTGATGAAGGATATGGAAGAAGTGAACAATCTTTAGTTATGGCAGAATGTAGCTATTACGACCAATTGAACCCATACCAGAGGATGGTGATTGATGCAGCTGGTCATAATTTTGTTTCAGAATCGAACCATGCAAGTACTAGTTTTACTCATACACTTGAACACGTGGGTACTAGTCATGCATCACAATTGGAAGAGATAGGAGTAACAGGTTTTGATGAGAATGTGTGTAATGAAACTTTTCCATCTAATCAGTTCTGGGAAGTGTTGAAAGCAGCAGATGAACCGTTATGGGTAGGTTGTGACAACCACACTAAGTTATCAGCGACATCAAGACTGTTAAATATCAAGGCAGAGTATAATGTGTCTGAGAATTGCTTCAACTCTTTTGTTGAAGTAATGCGGGAAGCAATGCCTCCTGATAACATCATGCCAAATGATTTTTACGATATGAAGAAGCTAGTGGATAACTTAGGTCTTCCAGTTGTAAGGATTGATATATGTAGTAGGGGATGTATGTTATATTGGAGAGATGATGAAAATGCAGAATTTTGCAAATTCTGTAACCAACCTAGGTACAAGATTAACAGAAGACAGGGTCGTAATCAAAAGCGTAGACTATGCAAGCAAATGTTTTATCTACCCTTAATCCCCAGATTGCAAAGGCTTTATGCGTCTCAAGCCACTGCTGAACACATGACTTGGCATGCAAATCATGAAACAAAAGAGGGTCTAATGTGTCATCCTTCAGATGCAGAGGCATGGAAACATTTTGATAGAACATACCCTGAGTTTGCATTAGAGCCTCGAAACATCATGTTAGGTCTATGTGCTTGATGGATTTGCCCCATTTGGGAAATCAGAAAAAGTTATTCATGTTGGCCAGTTATCTTAACTCCGTACAATCTTCCATCCGGTATGTGCATGAAGACACCTTATATGTTTTTGACATTGATCGTGACTGGCCCGCAAAATCCGAAAAAGTTGATAGATGTTTATATGCAACCATTGATTGAAGAGTTACAACGGCTATGGGATGAAGGTGTCCTTACATATGATGTTTCTACTGATCAATGGTTTGTAATGAAGGCTGCTCTTCTTTGGACAATAAATGACTTTCCAGCTTATGGAATGTTATCTGGATGGAGTACAGCTAGGATTTTAGGATGTCCGATATGTTTAGAGCGATCAAAGTCATTTAGATTAAGACATGGTAAGAAGCCCAGCTATTTCGACTGTCATAGACAATTTTTGCCGATAAATCATACATTCAGAAGGAATAAGAAAGAGTTCACCAAGGATAGGATTGAAAGAACACGTCCACTATTGAGGTTGACCGGTCATCAAATTTGGGAGCGAGTGCAAGACTTTCCAACTGTTGTTGAAAACCCTCATGGCACAACTATTGCGTACGGAAGTAC